CCCCACCCCCACCCCCCGCTTCCAAACACAAAGGAGTTGCTACGGTGTCTCTCAAGTGTCAAAAACCTTTGAAAATTCCAACTGCGAAGTAAAATTATCCCAGCTACAATGACAGACAACAAATATTACATTTATAGTATTACAACTAAAACCGTTTTTGACGCCGCCACCGCAGTTTGTCCTTCATGAGCCTTCGTAGACAAGATGGCGGTGCAAGATGGCGGCTGCCTGTAGTGACGACCCGCGACCATGGAGATATAAACAGCTTTTTATAAGGTAAAAATAATAAAACAAGGTCTTTGTCTGTAATGATTAGACATATTTTTTATTATTGTCATTAGTGATAATCTCAATTTCGGCTAAAAGAATTGACAAAATCCTACACACTGTGCCTTTAAAATTGGTTTGTAATATCAGTTAATATCGGAATTGAAAATTAAGTGTTGAACAATATCGGCATATTGATTATCGGGAAAAGGTCAATATCGAGCATTTCCACTCCCTATGATTATTTTCTGTGCTTTAGTTTTTGTTCTCCTGGATGTTATTTTTTTTTTGTAAAATCAAAATGTATATATATTTTTCTTATATTATTTTGGTATTTGATGCTACTTTGATCTGATGTACTCTTGAGTAAAACACTTATATGTATTAAATTACAACCGTCTGCAAACTTCTACTTCCTGTCCTGCAGAGCTGCAGTCGTGTGTCCCACAGAGACCATAACAGAAACATTTTCAACAGGAAGTGAAGCTGACCAGTAAGCTTTCAACTTTTTGAAAGATGGAATCAGATCTGTGGGAAGAACTGGAAGCTTTTTGCTTTTTACCTCCAGGTTAAAGTCCAACTCCTTCTCTATCATCTCCTTCAGGGTGCATGAAAGAATGAAGCATGAAAGAAGCATGCAGTTAAAGAAAGAGTCAGCAGCAGGAAGGAGAAAGCACATCAACCAGCAGAGAGGTCAGAGGAATTATCTCCTCCTTTGTCTCACCTCAGTCAGTGTGTCCATTTCCTCCTTTCCAAACCAGTCGGGTTCATACATGTCGGCCAAGCAGTCCTGCAGGCGCCGCGATGCATCGTGCATCACTGAAAACAGGGTCAGATCTGTTCAGTCTGAATGATTCAGACCCAGAAGATGTCCTGCAGGTTTAAATCAGACTCACTTTTCACCGCAGACAGGTAGGTCTTCAAGTCCTTCTGCAGTTTGGTGCCTTCGGTCTGAAACAGGAAACACAGGGAGTGAGGAAGAGGAGCAGCACTGCTGTGAAGATGATTCTGACCTGATGAAGGAAGCTGCTGCGAACCATCTGCTTGTTGAAGTTGGTCACCAGCTCCTCGAACGCAGCATCCCGAGTCTCATCAGCTTTACCCAGTTTCTGCAGGACCTGCAGGGGTGAGGACCAGTTCACTCATCTGATCATCTGATTGTCTGTCCATCCATCCATCTGTCCATCCATCCATCCATCCATCCATCCATCCATCCATCCATCCATCCATCCATCCATCCATCCATCCACCTGTCAATGCAGGGGTGAGGACCAGTTCACTCATCTGATCATCTGATTGTCTGTCCATCTGTCCATCCGTTCATCCATCCATCCATCCATCCATCCATCCATCCATCCATCCATCCATCCATCCATCCATCCATCCGTTCATCCATCCATCCATCCATCCATCCGTTCATCCATCCATCCATCCATCCATCCATTCATCCATCCATCCATCCATCCATCTGTCCATCCATCATCCATCTGTCCATCCGTTCATCCATCCATCCATCCATCCATCCATCCATCCATCCATCCGTTCATCCATCCATCCATCCATCCATCCGTTCATCCATCCATCCATCCATCCATCCGTTCATCCATCCAT